TTAAAAAAAAATATTTCATCCTCTTTGTTTTCATGCAGATATATCCATGCAATGGAAAAAGGAAACCAAACCAGTGTCTCCGAATTTCTCCTCTTGGGCTTCTCAAGTTGGCCAGAGCAACAGGCTCTCCTCTTTGTACTTTTCCTGTGTCTCTACTTAACAGGGCTGTTTGGAAACTTGCTCATCTTGCTGGCTATTGTCTCAGAGCGCCGCCTCCACACACCCATGTATTTTTTCGTTGCCAATCTGTCTGTGGTAGACCTCTGCCTTCCTTCATCTACCGTCCCCAAGATGCTGCTGAACATCCAAGCACAGACTCAGACCATCTCCTATCCTGGCTGCCTGGCTCAGATGTATTTCTGTATGATGTTTGCCAACATGGACAATTTCCTTCTCACAGTAATGGCATATGACCGCTATGTGGCCATCTGTCACCCTTTGCACTACTCCACCATTATGACTCAGCTCCTTTGTGCCTCTCTGGTGTCTGTGTCTTGGGTCTTTGCCACTTTGAATCCCCTCTTGCACACCCTTATGCTCACCCGTCTGCACTTCTGCTCTAACAACATCATCCACCATTTCTTCTGTGATATCAACTCTCTCCTCCCCCTCTCCTGTTCTGATACCAGTATCAATCAGTTCATAGTTCTGGCTGCAGTGGGGCTGATCTTCATGGTACCTTCAGGGTGTATCATGGCATCCTATAGCCTCATCATCTCTGCTGTGATGAAAATCCCTTCTGCCCAAGGAAAACTCAAGGCTTTCTCCACCTGTGGATCTCACCTTACCTTGGTCATTCTTTTCTATGGCGCAATCACAGGAGTCTATATGAGCCCCTCATCCAACCATTCATCTGAAAAAGACTCAGCCACATCATTGGTCTTCATGGTCGTAGCCCCTATGTTGAATCCCTTCATATACAGTCTAAGGAACAGTGAGCTGAAGGGGGCATTAAAGAAGGCTGTGGGCCAGACCAAAACCTTCTCCCAGTGATTTGTACTGACTGAAAGGCGTTCAACAGGAGACAAATCCTCATCAGGTCATCATTTTCATTCTAGTCATAGTTACAAAGCTGTTACCAAATACCTAACTAAACTTGGCAATGACCTAAATTTGCTACCTTATCACAGGCCTTATCTATTTGAGCTCCTGAAGATATTACTGTTGTGGGCAAACATGGATAGATAATATTCCTGAAAATACAGAAGGAACATGAAATCAACACTTGAATACATCGTTAAGAACTCCCAGATGGCTCAGGACAACACAGAAACATACCATGGGGAGTGAATAGAGCACCCCCGCAGTCCTGTCCTTCTGGAGTAGACAGAAGTGATGTAACCATGTCACCGTGCATGAAAAACAGAAGAGAAGAAAACTGGTATGTAATAAAAGGTTCAAATCATAACTGCAATGAGAGGTTAAAGAGAAAAGATATTGGTGAGGGTATGTGAGGTCAAGTAAAGCTTTGAGAAAAAAGCCTCACTTAATCTGGATCCTGGATATAGGTGATTTTTACACAGAAACAATGAGACTATTCCAAACCCACGAGGAAGCCTGGTAGGTAAGAAGGAGCATGGTGTGTGTGAGTAAATGTACCGAATAAATTAATCTGAATGGGTGAAAGGTCCAAATGAGGGATTGGTGAGAATGAGGGGATGGGTTATTTCTCACCCTAATGTTTTTTATATTTAGTCATGTTTTATGATTATATTGTGTGTATTTCCTATAACCTGTCTTTATTCCCTTATGTAAAAAGTAGCATTTATATCTTCCTTGTATATATGTATATAAATCTTATCATGGTCTACAAAGAATTGCCTACAAAGACTACTAATCCCATTTTTAAAATTAAAAATCTAGGACGCCTGGGTGGCTCAGTCAGTTAAACATCCGACTATCGGTTTTGGCTCAGGTAATGATCTCAGGATCCTGGGATCGAGCTCTCATGAGATTGAGCGCCACGTCGGGCTCCATACTCAGTGCAGAGTGTGCTTGAGATTCTCTCTCTCCGTCCACATCTGCCCCTCCCTCTGCTTGTGCTCTCTCTCTAAAATAAACAAATTGGGGTGCCAGGGTGGCTCAGTTGGTTAAGTGTCTGCCTTCCACTCAGGTCATGATCCTAGGGTCCTGGGATCGAGCCTCCCATCGGGCTCCCTGCTCAAGAGAGAGCCTGCTTCTCCCTCTGCCTGTTGCTCCTGCTTGTGCTCTCTTTCTCTGTCAAATAATTAATATCTTTTTAAAAAATCAAATTTAATTAATTAATTAAATTAAAAATCTGTGCTGTTATTTAGAGTTGCCTATATGAGAAGCGACCATACCAGCAATTGATAATATTTGCCTTTGTGATCTTTGATTTGGAACTCATAGTTGATTTAACAGACGGTTTTCTGGGTCCATTGTGTTGCCCAGAGCCATGCAAAGTGCCTTTCTCCATATGCCATATGTCCCATAGTTTAAGTCATACTATCCAAAATATCTCTTCAAAGTTGGTAAAAAGGAAAAAAAAGCAAATAAATAAAATGCTCAATCATTTTCATATATGTAATAATTAACAGGCAGAAATAAAAAGATTTTTTTTAAATCATCCTGCTATAAATGTTTGTCTTCTTTCTTTATGATGAGAAGACCATCTACAAGTTACGCTTGTGTTTTTTACTTTTTTCTTATGAGACAGAGATCAGAAAACTTTGCTGGAGCTTGTAAGGACCAGTGTAAGCAACACTGGGTGGGACAGAGAAGCAATGACAATAATGGACCAATCAAATCCCAATTTTCTATGTCTTGAAAGATCTTTGTATGCATCAGCTTTCTTAGTTGCAAAGAAACAGAAATCAATGCTGCTTAATTAAGCAGAAATAGAATTTAATAAAAGAGTGTTGGGTAATTCATAAAACAGCTAGAAGGGCTGGAGAACCAGTGTCATGAGCACGCTATGAAGGCACACATACGAGCTGTGTCTTTCCACAATGTCAGCTTTATTTAATCATAAAGCAAAGTTAAATCACAATTATAAAGCAGGTTCTGGATTCCAAACTCAGTGACAATTCACCATGTGAATAAACTTGGCTTCTTTACACAGCACACAAGGCAGGAAGGAAGACAAGCCACACAACAAACAAGGTAACAGAAGGGTGCAGGAAGTTAACGAACCAAGTGCGAAGTCAGTTCACGGGCCCACAGTTGAGATAAGGCCTCGGTTTGGTCCCGGTCAGCTCTCGGCACTTACTGCTTATGTTCAAGCAGTGAACATAATTTAATAAATTCCAACTTATTTTTCATGGATTATGCTTTTGGTTGTTGTCTAAAATATAACCACTAAATTCAAGGTCATGTAGAATTTCTCCATGTTTTCTTTTAGAAGTTTTATAGTTTTGGATTTTACATTTAGGTCTTTGATCCATTTTGAGTTAATTTTGTGAAAGACAAGGTGATTTTCTTGCATATAAACATCTAATCGTTCCAACACCATTTGCTGAAAAAAGCTATCCTTTCTCCATTGAATTGCCTTTGCATCTCTGTCATAAATTAGCTGAGTATATTTGTTTGAGTCTATTTCTGGGCTCTATTCTATTCCTCTGACCTATGTCTATTTCCACTGACCTATGCCATCTTGACTACAGTTTTATAGCAAATATTAAAATTATAGTGTGAATCTAGCTTTGTCCTTCTTTTTCAATATTGTGTTGGTTATTCTACATCTTTTCCTTCCCATATAAATGTTAGAATTAGTTTGTCAGTATCTACAAAACAGCTTGCTGTGATTTCTGAGAGTTATGTTGAGTCAACAGATCAAGTTGGGAAGAATTGACACCTTAACAATTCTGAGTCTTCCAATACATGAACATAGAATATCTCTCCATATGTTAGATTTCTTTGAATTATTTCATCAGTGTTTTGTAATTTTCTGCATACAGAGCCTATACCTATTTTGTCAAGTTTATACCTAAGTATTTTCTTTTTGACTTTCAGATATTGACCTTGTAACCTGCAACATTGCTGTAATTGCTTGCTCCAGGAGATTTTTGTTTTTTGGTCTCTGGGATTTTCTACATAAAAAGTTTATATGTGAATAGAGACAGCTTTATTTCTTCCTTTCCTTTCTGTATACCTTTTATTTATTTTTGTCTTACTGTCCTGGTTAGGACTTCCAGCATGATGTGAAATAGTAGTGAGAGGACAGCTTTATCCATTTTCTAATCTTGAGGAAAATATTCAGCTTCTCATTTGTAAGTATGGAGTTAGCTGTGGTTTGCTGGGTGGGCGGGTGGGTTGTTATCTGTAGATGTTCTTTATCAAGTAGAGAAAGTTTCCATCTACTACTAGTTTATTGAGAGTTTGCATCACAAACAGCTTTTGGATTTTGTCAAATGCTTTCTCTGAATCAAATGATTATGATTTTGCTTTTTTAGCCTGTTGATTATATTTGTGGATTATATTGACTGATTTCCAAATGCTGAACCACTCTTGCATGTCCACTTGGTTGTTGTATATAATTCTTTTTATATACCATTGGATTTGTTAATATTTTGTTGAGGATTTTTGCATCTATGTTCATGAGACAGCTTGGTCTGTAGTGTTCTTCTTGTAATGTCTTTAAATGGTTTCGGTAGTAGATACAGTAGAAAGTTAGGAAGTGTTCCCTCTGCTTCTATTTTCAATAGATTGTGAGGAATTGGTCTTTAACTGCTTGACAGAATTCACTAATGAAACTATTTAGTGGGCTTGGTGCTTTTTCCAGACAGTTATTAATTAGGTAGAGCAAGGAGGATCACTGGGGATGGTAGAGCAGAATGAGCTAGGGAGAGAGTAATAGATTACATGGGGTATAGGTCAAATGGGGTCTCATAGGCCATTTTAAGAACTTTAGGTTTTGCCTTGCCTGAAATGGGGAGCTACTCAAAGGTTTTAAGCTGAGGGCTAGTTTAGGGATTGAAAAATAATTTTCCCTCTATCATTCTGAGTTCTCAGTTGAAATCCCTGTAATAAAAGACATTAACAAGAGAAAAACAAACAGAAGTTTATTAACATGTATACCTCATGAGTACACAGGAAATACCTAGAGAAAAATGAGCAATGAAAAGAGTAACTTAGGATTTCATTTAACAGGGAAAGGGGACAAGAGATGTAGGCCTTTTAGGGGAGAGTAAATGATTTTTAGCAAAGATGAATGGGCCCTTAAGAGAACAGATGGGAGGTATGACTGATGTGGGAAACAAAGTCTAAAGAAAGAATTAAATTTCCTTACTGCCTACAGCCCAGTGACAAGTCCTTGAAACAGGCAAAGTGATCTTCCTCTGGGATTTCAGCTGCCTTGATGTTGACACTTCGCTAAAGTGGCAATCTTAGCTTAACATTATCCCGACGCCCCAGGATCCTGTTAAGTCTACTTTAACATATAAAAATTCCTTTGGAAACACTCCTTTGTCAGGGTGTGGTGTCAAAGGAAAAAATTCCTTTGGATGAGCAATCATCCTCCAAGGATATGACCCACTGATACACATCTGAAGGGTCTCATGACTGAGTTCTTACTAAACAGTAATAAATGACCTTTTCCTAACAATAGCTAGCCCCCCTCAGGATCCTGGAAACCTTGCTTCCAAAATACCTTGGGAGGCTTGTGCTGTCCCCAAACCCCTCCCAACGTGATAGCATATAATCAGTCACCCATCGCTACCCCAGTGCAGCTCTTTCTGCCCACGGGTCCTGTCCCCATGCTTTAATAAAACCGCAGTTTTCCACTGAAGACATCTCAAGATTTCTTTTTTGGCTGTGGGCTCCAAACCCCATTTCTACATCATGATTTTTTGTGACAAGTTTGTCAGGGTGTGGTGTCAACTTCTTTCCTATGATATGAGCCAATCTTCCCTAGCTGATGAAACTTCTGGGGAGGGTATTTACAACAATTGAGTTTATTCTGGAGGATCTGTCTTTAGGCAGATAAGGGAAAGTCAGAGAAAGCGTCTTTCCACATTTGCTTTTTTTCAAGTGCCTACAGCTCAAAATAATCAATATATCAAAGGCGCATATTTTGAGGAGGTGTGTTCTGCTACCCTTCAGCAGCATGACAGAACTTAGGCCGCAACAGCTCTGTTAAGAATAGACTGTGGGGGGCGCCTGGGTGGCTCAGTTGGTTAAGCGACTGCCTTCGGCTCAGGTCATGATCCTGGAGTCCCGGGATCAAGTCCCGCATCGGGCTCCCTGCTCGGCGGGGAGTCTGCTTCTCTCTCTGAACCTCCCTCCTCTCATGCTCTCTATCTCATTCTCTCTCATACATACATACATACATACATACATACATACATAAAAAGAACAGACTGTGGGGAACACAGAAAGCAGCAGAGGGAACGGGCGCCTGGGTGGCTCAGTTGGTTAAGCGACTGCCTTCGGCTCAGGTCATGATCCTGGAGTCCTGGGGTCGAGTCCCGCATCGGGCTCCCTGCTCAGCAGGGGGTCTGCTTCTCCCTCTGACCCTCTTCCCTCTCGTGCTGTCTCTCATTCTCTCTCTCTCAAATAAATAAAATCTTTAAAAAATAAAAAATAAAAAATAATTAAAAAAAGAAGCAGAGGGAACATGTAAGAGGTTTACTGCCCTAACCAGAAGAGTGTATCAGTCCATCTTTAGGAGAATGGATGCCATATTCACAACCGGATTATTATACAGTAATGAAAATTAACTTTAACTCAACAACGTGGATAAACCGTAGTGACCTATTGTTAAGTGAAAACAGCAAATATCAGAAGATTACCTATGGCATGGTGCCTTGTAGATGAAAAACAAGAAAACTAAACCATATATTGCTTTACCATGCATACTTATCTAATAGAACTATTCCTTCAAAAAGAGACTAAACACGGATTATAGGGGTTACTTCTGTTGAATAGAAAACCACAGGCCCAGGTGGAGTTACTTGCCTCCAGAATAGCAAACCAGGACAAAATTACAGTTGCAATCTCCTCAGGAGTGAAATTTTAAGCAAATCAACCCAGAATTTTCTGGTCAGCACCAATAAGGTCACACGGGCCCTCTGCATTCCCTTCTCCCCGCCCCCCAAGAAGATGAGGTAATCTGCAAGAGAAGACCCCCCTCCTCACCTTCCCCCCACCCCCGCCAAGGGAAGGCCACCTTGCCTTGAAACAATGCTTTTCCTTTGGCTAATAACTTCCTTGCTCCACTCTCTTTCCTATAAAAATCTTAGATTTTTGTACCACTCCACGCTCCTCTCTACTTACTACGGCTTAATCAGTATGATCAGATCTTCTTGCTTACTCGGTTGAATTTCGGTTAACACCGCACGTGAGAGGAGGTACTGAAGGAGCAGCAGTGAACGTAAGTCACCGTCAACATTCTAGTCCTCACACACTGGCCCACGGATTCGAGAAAGGCCACGTTTCGGGCCACGCACAGGCCGTCGTGAGTCCGGCTATAACCAGCCACGTTTGTAACCTGCGCTCCCGGAAGCCCAGGGAGGCTTTGCAAGGAGGTCTGCGCGCGGTGCGTGGCTCCCGTCCCACTCCCCAGACTGAAGTCCCGGCGAGGCCGCGCTTCCCGCTACACAGGGGGGCAAGGACCCCACCCCAAAGCCCCGAGAGCTTCGCGAGCCGCGGAAGCCGCCTGGGAAACGGGAGTCGGAGCGCGGGAGAGACGCCAAGACTTCTGGGAGTCGCAGCGCAGCGCCAGGCCGCCTTCTGCGCAGGCTCAGGGCCCACGAGGACGGAAGCTTTGAGAGAGGGTGCAGCGCCGTGCCCCCACCGGAAGTGTCCGATCGGAACCACCCTGTAGGAGAGGTGAGTCCGGGTTTGGGACCCATGCGTCCGACCTTTTGTCCCCTCCAAGCACCTAGTCCCTACGACTTTACTTCGGGATTGCGGCAGCCCCGCGGCGCCCTGGAGCCGGGGCCGCGGAGGAATCCCGAGGAAAAGTGGCACTGAGACTCGGCGTTCGGCGGACACTGTGCCCGCCTACTTCCCGAGGGGCGGCGGTTCCCATGGTTACCCGCGCCGCGCGTTACGTCACCGCCGCGGGCGGGGCGCCGGGGCGCGGGCCGGGGTCACTGAGGGGAATGGCGGGCACGGCGGCGACCTCGGGGGGCGGCTTCTTGCCTGGAGGAGCTGCCCGGGAGCCCGCCCCGACGCCCGCTTTTCGCGGGAGGGGTGCCCGCCTTCTCGTGGGGGAAGCGGGGCGGCCGGACACTGGACGGGTGTTGCTCCCCGTGTGCCCGGGGACGCGGGGGCAGCGGCGGAGACGGTCCGCCGGGCGGGCGGTGGGCAGGACTGCGGCGTGCTTCGGTGCGGGAAGGCTCCCGGCCGCTCCCCTGCACACCCCGGCGCCTGCCCTCACCGAGCGCCCGCGCTCCCGGCTCGGTCCTCCTTCCTGTCGGTGCCGGCGGCGTCGGGAGGCTCTCGGGCTGCCCTCCCGTTCAGCGAGTGTGGAAACTCGGAAAACGGGAGTGCAAGGCCCTTGACCTCCCGGAGTAACGGTCATTGAGGAGGAAGAACAGCCAAGCCAAACATAAGTCGAGGTCACGGGTGTTGTGCCCGAGCTCCGTAGAGTTGTGCTATGCCCTGCGGGCTCGTCGCACCCTCGGTCGGCGTCCATCCCGCTTCCTCGGCTTTCCTCGGTGCCGTTTGGATCTTTCCCACCTTGTATTGCCCGGTGTTTGCTGCCCCGCGCGGACTCTCTCTCCCTCTCTCTCTCTCTCTCTCCCCCTCCCGCCTCCGAGCCGTTAGGATATCCGATCCCGCTACCGTGCAGCTTGGCTAGTCCTTCAGTCTTCAGCAGTTATCAGCATTTCAGCGTGTGTTAGGTGAAACCTATTTAGTTATTTAGATGTTTTTAATGCACGTGGGTCTTACGTCCTTTTTTCCCAACTGTTTTTACAAACTCAAGCACCATTGAATTCCTTAGGGCTGTACATCAAAATACGGATTTTCCAGGTAAACCCATACTGACCCAGACAGTATCCCAGGAATCACTTTCTAACAAAGTTCCCACATGATTAATCAGCTGGGAACTCAGACTTTCTTGGAAACCATTACTGTACAACTTCTAGCCTTAGCTTGGCTTGTGTTCACATTCTTAATAAAGTACATGTCCATGCAACAGTGGGCACTCAGCTGGTGAAATGTGTAGTAGAAGGCCCCGCAAGATTGATAGTTGCATCCTGCTCTTGTACTCTAGGCTTCACATCTAAATTCCTGTTACTCAGTTTTTCGGTGCAGAAACCAGACATTCCCATGTGCTAAGACTCAAGGAACTGGTATTTAATAACGAGACTCACAGTCCACAGGTAAGCAAGTCATGGTGCTGGTTTATTTTATTTAACTTTATTGGTGAGATGATAGGACTTAATGTCCAAGATATGAACTGAGCCACAAAACTAGGGAGGTAGAGAAGGAACTGTTGGGATAACAGGAAACCTATTTGAGACCTTTGCGGAAGGAACTAGTTAACACTGATTGAAACTGTTAGCCTCTGGCTCTCAAGAAAAGTTACCCTGGGGCACCCAGCTGGCTCAGTTGGTGGAACACGTGATTCTTGATCTCAGGGTTGTGAGTTCCAGCCCCACACTGGGTGTAGAGATTACTTAAAATCTTTTAGGGGCGCCTGGGTGGCTCAGATGGTTAAGCATCTGCCTTCAGCTCAGGTCATGATCCCAGGGTCCTGGGATTGAGCCTGCTTCTCCCTCTCTCTCTACTGTTCCCCCTGCTTGTGCTCTCTCTGTCAAATAAATAAATAAAATCTTTTTTTAAAATCTTGTAAGAAAAGGAAAAAAAGTTACCCTTATTACTTAAGAGATTTATAAGTAATCCTAGGTCCAGATTTTGAATTAATAATTATCATTCCAAGCTTGCATTTTCCTCAAACTTGTATAAGTATGGCCTCTCTATGTTTCTCTTTTCATATTGCAGTCCATCCTAGAAATGAACAACATGTTAATCTCCACAAACGGTATTTGTCAGGTCATTCTGCTCAGAAGCTTTCCTTGGCTCCCCAGTGCCTAAAAGATAAACTCTGAATTCAGGATCTTGGCACTTGAGGCTTTCTATGGTAGGGCCTTTGCCTCTATGATTTCCTTATACAAACCTACTGAACTTTTTCCTTTCCCACTTCTGTGATCCTACCATTAACCGGTTCAGGCTGTTTTCTTGCTTGTAATTTCCTATTTTTCTCTCTCCCACATCCTATCAAATCCTTTCCATTCTTCAGAAGTTAATTTTTTCATTAAGTTTTCCCGGACCATTGCAACCTGCTAGACTTTGCACCTCCAACTTTGTGAAGCACTTTATTGTTTTTCTTATGCTGGTCCTTGTTGTCTTTATGACTTACATATAATTTAATTGCATGTGGTATGTTAACATGTAGCATTGCCTTAAATTTATAAATCTTATATTTATTGTTTCTACTTTAAGATATTTTGTTTTTATGGGTGCCTGGGTGGCTCAGTTGATTAAGAGTCCATCTCTTGATTTCTGCTCAGGTCATGATCTCAGGGTCATGGGACTGAGCCCAGCCTTGGACTCTGAGATGGGCTAGGAGTCTGCTGGAGATTCTCTCTCTCTCCCTCTCCCTCTGTCCCTCCCCCCAACTCACACACGTGCGCCCTCTCTCTCTCTCTCTAAAGTAAATGAATCTTAAAAAGAGGTATTTTGTTTTTAAATTTTAATTTTAAGCTGCTTTGAGGTAGAAATTATGTGATAGTTGTATTCCACAAAGTATTTCAGTGCTTTTACATATAGTAAATGCCTAGTACACTTCTGTGTAATGGAAAATGATTATTTCTGTGATGTGATCTTTCATCTTCATAGACAGTAATAGTTATTTTTTATCCCTTAGAAGAGCCCTTGAAACTAAATAAGACCGTTCACAAAGCAGAAGTGGGTTTCCTGGTAATACATTTCATCCAAAAATGACAACAGAATCAAAGAAAGCTACAGCTCAGAACCTTCAGGAGAATGAAGGACTTCTGATAGTGAAGATAGAAGAGGAAGATTTTGTCTGGAGGCAGGACACTTGCCTCCAGAGAAGCGATCCCCTCAGGCAGGAGCTCTGCCGGCAGCTTTTCAGGCAGTTCTGCTACCAGGATTCCCCTGGACCTCGAGAGGCGCTGAGCCGGCTCCGGGAGCTCTGCCGTCAGTGGCTACAGCCCGAGACCCACACCAAGGAGCAGATCCTGGAGCTGCTGGTGCTGGAGCAGTTCCTGACCATCCTGCCCGAGGAGCTGCAGGCCTGGGTACAGGAACATGACCCAGAGAGTGGAGAGGAGGTGGTTACCATACTGGAAGATTTGGAGAGAGGCACTGATGATGCAGTAGTCCAGGTACTCAAGGGATGGGAGATCTAAGACCTCCACATGGATGGAGTCCCACAGGGGGAGGAAAGGGCCTGAGATTGAACGCCCGGGGAGACCTGCAGGGGCTGTTAGGTCAGTGTGCCTTTCTGTCTCCTTTCTACCACATTTGGTGCTGTGCCACATTCTACATTTAAGTCAGACTTAATCCTTCTGCAGTTTTGTATTCCTACAGGAGGTTCTCTTTGTTTTTGGAAGATGTTCAAATACCCAGCAGGGATTCTCTCACAAGCCCAAATGTACTTTATTTTCAGGTTCCAGTCCATGCACATGGACAAGAGATATTCAGGAGAAAGATGGTACCTCCTGGACCAGCACTTAGTGTCCAGTTGCAGCCAGTGGACCCCAAGACCCTTCATGGTTCTTCAGCACCCCTTCTGCTGGACGGTGGTAAGGGGCAGTACTGCATGCAATTCATGTCACTGAAGGAATGGGACTGTGAATGTCCCTTCTCAGAGTAGCCTCTGTTACCATAGGTGGTCCTTTCCTTTATCACCCCATGAAAAGTAGAGAACTTTTTCCCTATGTGTCATTGACCAATTAAAACAAAAACAGAGAGAGAATATGGTTCCTTAACCAGAATATTTACATTTTCCCATTTGTTCTTCATCCAGAATATTTCCAAAACACAGGATATTTTTATGAGTAAATTAAAGGAAAGAAAAATAAATGCGTGAGAAAACATCAGGGAATAAGTAAAAAAACAAAAGAAAAAGAGGAAGAAACACATCAAGAGAAACAACACATTTTAGTAGAGAAGCAGATACATAATGATATACTTGGAAGTGGAATATAATTCACAGATACATAGAACAAGATCCACATTATTGTCTCTCTTACTGTATTTTTGGTCTTACAAAGCTTTCATTTTTTATAGGAAGTCAGCATACTTCTGGTGACTACCTCCATGGAATACTCATCACTGTTCTAAAACTCCTCTGTTTAAAAAGTTCGTGGACTCAATATTACTTTAGGTGTGAATGATCTCAAAAATAAATTCAAGAATAATTACAGTCAGGGCGCCTGGGTGGCTCAGTTGGTTAGGCGACTGCCTTCGGCTCAGGTCATGATCCTGGAGTCCCGGGATCGAGTCCCGCATCAGGCTTGCTCGGCGGGGGTTCTGCTTCTCCCTCTGACCCTCCCCCCTCTCATGCTCACTCTATCTCATTCTCTCTCTCAAATAAATAAATAAAATCTTTAAAAAAAAAAAAAGAATAATTACAGTCAGTTTTGGGGGCACCTGGGTGGCTCAGTTGGTTAAGCATTTGCCTTCAGCTCAGGTCATAATCTCAGGGCCCTGGGGTCAAGCCCCAGGTCAGGCTCCCTTGCTCAGCGGGGAGTCTGTTTCTCCCTCTCCCTCTGCTCCTCTCTGTCTCTCTAATAAATAAATAAATAATCTATAAAAAAAAAATAATGATCTTTTAAAAATATGTAAGTAAATAAATAGATAGGTAGATAAATAAATTAGTCAGTTTTTAAAAAAATACCCAAATTCTGCTTTCCAGTTTGTTCTGGAGACATTGCCATCCACTCCATCCAAAATCATGCATTTCCCCCAGCCTAAAATCAGCATGGCCTAACCACCTTTCCTGCCTTAGCATATTCTAGACAAAGGAAACCCTGCAACAAAGAGGGGGTGCTTGGGGTGCCTGGGTGGCTCAGTCATTGGGCGTCTGCCTTCAGCTCAGGGCATGGTCCCAGGGTCCTGGGATTGGGCCCCGCATCAGGCTCCCTGCTCCACGGGAAGCCTGCTTCTCCCTCTCCCACTCCCCCTGCTTGTGTTCCCTCTCTCGCTGTGTCTCTCTCTGTCAAATAAATAAATAAAACCTTTAAAAAAAAAATAACAAAAAGACAAAGGGGGGGTGCTTGATTGAAGCACAATATAGAGTCGTAAGTATAGTATAAATTTGTGAGCCAGAAGGCAGGAATTGTGAGGACTTAATCATAAATGGATTCTGGAAACCAGGCGGAGGAGTTCAGATGTGTTGTGGAAGAAAAGAGAGGGTAGATTTCTGAGTAGGGTATAGGAAGGGACAGGATGTTAAGGACAGTCTGGTGAGGGTATTCAGGATGACTAGGAAGAACAGCTCAGAGTCAAAACAGTGGGAGGCGGGGCGCCTGGGTGGCTCAGTTGGTTGGGCGACTGCCTTCGGCTCAGGTCATGATCCTGGAGTCCCGGGATCGAGTCCCGCATCGGGCTTCCTGCTCGGCAGGGAGTCTGCTTCTTCCTCTGACCCTCTTCCCTCCCTTCCCTCCCGTGCTCTCTGTCTCTCATTCTCTCTCAAATGAATAAATAAAAATCTTAAAAAAAAAAAAAAAAAACAGTGGGAGGCTGTGACAGTCCCCTAGATAGGAAGAGTGACAAGGATAGTGGTAGCAGAAATGTAAAGAAGGGGATGTGTTCAGGGTACATTTAGCAGAAAGTGCTTATAGAACTTGATTAGCCATGGACGATGAAAAAATGGGTGGGTGGGTAGATGTTGAAGGTTTTCCCCTCCACAGGCATTCTACATGCTTTTACCAATTTTTCTCTTTTGTGTCCTTGTCCATCACACCTTTCCCTTGAAAGGCCACATTTGTAGAGTAGCCAATTGAAGTACCAATATGTAACTGTCTTGTGTATATCTCAAATTTTTTTTTCTTCCAACTCAGCAAACAGATATTTACCAGTTTGTATTTTCATTCTTTTAGGTAATGAGAGTGAAAACAATGGATCCATGCCAAAGTTGGACATTTATGAAGAAATGGAATCACAGAGGATTCTATCAAGAAGAATTTCAGGATTCATGTCAGAAAGATCTGCTGAACCTCAAGACATCTGTAAGTCTGCAGGCAGGTTAAAGAGGCAATGGGAAAAAGAATCAGGAGGGTCTCAGAGACCATCATCTGCTCAGGATGGAGGTTTTAGTAAAATCCTTACCCACAAAAATACACTGACAGATGACATTAGCCATGATGGTTGTGAGAGAAGCCTAAACCTGAATTCAAGTGAATTGACACACCAGAAATCTTGTAAACACAGTACCTATGACCAAAGTTTCAAATGGAATCCAGATTTTATTAAGCATCAAAGAATTTATGCCAGAGAGAAAATTCACCAATATGGAACATCTCTCAAGAGCCCAAATCTTATTAAACATGCAGCAATTTTTAGTGGGGAGAAAACCCACCAGTGTAATGAGTGTGGGAAAGCTTTCAGACACAGCTCAAAGCTTATCAGGCATCAGAGAATCCACACTGGAGAGAGGCCCTATGAATGTAATGAATGTGGGAAAGGCTTTGGGGGGAGCTCAGATCTTATTAGACATCAGAGAATTCACACTGGGGAAAGACCCTTTGAATGCAAAGAATGTGGGAGAGCATTCAGCCTGAACTCACATCTTATCCTGCATCAGAGAATTCACACCAGAGAGAAACCCTATGAATGTAGTGAATGTGGGAAAACCTTCAGAGTGAGCTCACACCTCATTCGACACCTGAGAATCCACACTGGAGAGAAACCCTATGAATGCAGTGAGTGTGGGAGAGCCTTCAGTCAGAGTTCACACCTTCGTCAACACCAAAGAATTCACAAGAGGGAAAACCTGTTAATGTAAAGAAGTTAAATTTTTATGGAAATGCGAAAGAAATAGCAACATGAAAAATACTGAATAAAAAATATGGAGTGAGATGAATGACTGAAAGGCCAATGTCTCTTTTCTCTCATTCTCTGGCTTACTGTTCTGCTTATGGTCTTCACCTATGAGGGAGAGGGGATGCTTTCTGTGAGACAGGAGTTTCCTCTTCTATTGACTGCTGAAGTCAAGCCAGAAGAGCAGAATTTGGAGGATAGTCTATGGCAGTGGAGATAGAGGGGAAAAAGGACTGTCTTGGGAAGTAACCATGATTACAGTGTGGCGGGGAGAAGATTCAGTAAAGAAGCTGATCATCAACACTAGTTAATGATTCTCCTCAAGAGAAAGTAGGCTAAGCCCTGAAGTGGAATAGTTTGAGCAAAACCCACCAGCGCTTTCAGAACATTACTTTAAAATGAAGGCACAACAAAACTAAATTAGAAATTCATGTCAAACAAGAGGACCTGCACACAGTGGCATTCCGATATGTAGACCAAAGTCTATGTCCAGAGGTCATGCCAGGATGTAAACCAGGAGAGCATCCAAGGCAAGAGGCCAGAATCCAGAGAGATTGAAACAAGACAGGAGAGGAGAAGTAAATTAGGCAGGAGTTGGGGTTAGAGGTAAGGGAAGGTAGTCACATTGAGTTCAACCTCGAATATGGAGGAGACAGACGGTAACATAACTTCGATCTTACTGCCACATATGCCTGGGTTTTGGCACCTCCGTGGGGTGAGTGGACAAAGACTGCAGTTCTGGGGAGCTCTCTGGACAGAAACAGGGTTCTCTGGCTACTGACAATTGTGGAAGAGGGCTGAGGGAATTAGCACTAAAGGTAAAGGTCCTGAAACTGTTTCATTACTGCTGGCTGCTCTTCTTTCCAGAAAAGACAGTGTTCAGAGGGTTGGTATCCAAGAGAAGAATGGAGAGAGGAATCCAACAAGTAGGAACTCCACCAGTGATTTCAGGATATAAAGGCAAATCCTGCTCTACTGTTTTCCTTTTGATAAGGCACGTTTTCCCTAATGTGAAAATAAAAGCAGCTATATAAGGCTTAAAATCCCATTGTATATATAATGTCTTTATCTGAAAACTAGCAAACAACCCCCAGTGTGGAATTATGACAATCTAATGTACAAAATCTTCTACCAATAGGCTTTATTTAAAAATGTCTTAGCATTTGTTTTTCAATCCTTGAACTAAAAATGTCCTGATAGCATCGAAGTAACCCAATGTGGGGGTGGGGGTGGGGCGGTATTGAATGCATAATTTCCTGTTGCACACGTACTACGCTAATGCATCCTATGTTGTGACTGTTACAAGCGCTGTTTATGTGTTCCATTCTGTGGTCGAGAAAACGGAGCTGTGAGTGTCCTGCTCGGAATGCCTGAACAGCAAATGCTGGAACCAGGATTCAAACACATGCTGTTCCCGGCCTTGTGCCTAATCCTTAACCTTGATTGTGTCCCTGACAGAATCACCATGTGACGTAACAGCAAAACACACGGCACTCGTGCACCACCACTTTAAAGTGGGGACGGCGACAGATGTTGGCAGGGATGCGGAGAAAGGGGAACCCTCCTACACTGTTGGTGGGAATGCAAGCTGGTGCAGCCACTCTGGAAAACAGTATGGAGGTTCCTCAAAAAGTTGAAAATAGAGCTACCCTACAACCCAGCAATTGCACTACTGGGTGTTTATCCCAAAGATACAAATGTAGTGATCTGAAGGGGCACATGCATCCCGATATCTATAGCAGCAATGTCCGCAATAGCCCAACTGTGGAAAGAGCCAAGATGTCCATCGACAGATGAATGGATAAAGAAGATGTGGTATATATATACAATGGAATATTATGCAGCCATCAAAAGGAATGAGATTTTGCCATTTGCAACGACGTGGATGGAACTGGAGGGTATTATGCTGAGCAAAATAAGTCAAACAGAGAAAGACATGTATCATATGACCTCACTGATATGAGGAATTCTTAATCTCAGGAAACAAACTGAGGGTTGCTGGAGTGGTGGGGGGTGGGAGGGATGGGGTGACTGGGTGATAGACACTGGGGAGGGTATGTGCTATGGTAAGCGCTGTGAATTGTGCAAGACTGTTGAATCTCAGATCTGTACCTCTGAAACAATACATTATATGTTAAAAAAAGAAAAGATAGTAGGAAGGGAGAAATGAAGGGGGGGAATCGATGGGGGAGATGAACCACGAGAGACTATGGACTCTGAGAAACAAACTGAGGGTTCTAGAGGGGAGGGGGAGGGGGGATGGGTTAGCCTGGTGATGGGTATTGAAGAGGGCACGTTCTGCATGGAAAAAGTATATATATATAAAATTTAAAAAGTGGGGGACGGGTTCGCAGGTCGTTAGCCTCTCAGAAGGTGAAAGACCACACGCAACTCAAAACCGCAGCGCCGCCCTTCGGCGGCCACCACCGAGAGGAGCGTCTCCCAGAGAGGCCGGAAGCGGCGCTGTGCCCCGGGTGGCCGCCCCTCGAGGCCGCGCGGAGGTTACCACCGACAGCGTCTTGCCGAGAGGCCGGAAGCGGCCGGCTTCCGCCCGGGGTGGCTGCGCAGCTTCCGGCCGCGTTGTGCGGCGGCGGCGAGGGGCGCTGCGGAGCCTGAGGCGGGGTCGCGGCCGAGGCTGATGCCCGCAGCGCCCGTCTCTCGCCTCCCTGGGCTGCTCCTGAGGTTCAGGAACGAATTCCGACAAGAAGGCGGCGGCTACGGCCGCGGCCCGCCCTGACCCCCGGGGCGCGCCCGGTTCGCGCGTGTTCTCTCCCCTCGGCGCCGGCTGTGCGAGTCCCGGGCTCCCGGAGCGACGGCGGCGGCGCGGGCCCCGCGGCGGGGATGGGGCGTGTGGTCCCCACGGACCCTCAGACCGGCCTCCTCTTGGGGGGGAACGTCTGCGCTCGGGGTGCCCGTTTTCTGGCCAGGATCCGACGTCTCCTCTGGATTTGCTTGTGCCGCGAAAGAGCGGCGTGTTTGGCTTGGTATTTTCCTTCCCTTCCGCTCGTAGTCAGGCTTCGATCTTTCCGTGTTGCAGCTTTTGACCGGCCTAGTTTGTGCTTTGCACCCCACGTGACGGAATTCACCGGGACTGTCGTTTCCCCTTGGAATTAATCTTTCAGCGAGGTGGTTTGTTGTTGTTGTTGTTGTTTTGAGGTTTTATTTATTTGGGGGGACGGGGGGGCCTGGCGGGGCAGGGCATGAGAATCTCCAGCGGACTCCGCACGGCGCCGCGCCCGCACCACCCGAGACCAGGACCTGAGCCGAGGCCAGGAGTGCGACGCGACTGACTGAGCCACCCAGGTGCCCCCGCAGAGTTTCAAGAGGACCAGTCAGCCTTAACCTCAGCAGAAGTGTCCGGCACCCTTCTGCATTTCTGAAGGTAATGGTTTGTGTCGCCTTAGGAGTAGCCAAAAACATTCACCCCGAGACCGTCTCCTTGAGGCAGAAACTGAAGTGAGTTTATTCAAGCAGTGAGAGCCCGTAATGCAGGCAGCCTTGGCTGTCGATCTCAAAGGGAGAGGAGGACCACACGGAGCCGAGAACGTGCGCGGCGCAGGAAGAACTCCCAACAACCAGGCGGTAGATGCTAGTCCTGACTTCAGGCAGTTTGGTTACCGGAGACGCCTGGACCCTGGGAGGCCCGGAACCAACTCTAGGAACTTTGCGGTCAGTGGCTGATGCCGCCCCAAGGAGCAGATCCTGATCATCGTGCCCAGGAGCTCCAGGTCTGAATTGGAGGATCAGCCAAAGACCAGGAGGCAGCGATGGGGGGGGAGGGGGTTGGAGGGAGCGCTTGATGAAACAGGACAGCAGGTGTGGTTAAATGAGTTAATGTCTAGCGAGGGAGAGAAGCGTCCGGACAACCGTGGAGCAAGGTTACAAAGCTTCAGGCTCCACTCAGCCAGGCCAGAAGTATTAGTGTCAGCCTTTCTCATTCTCATGCTTTCTAGTTAGTTTCTTACTTCTTGAAGGTGGAATAGACCGTGTGTCCATTTTTCTCTATTCTGTGCCCTGAGAATTGTCCCCTAAGGCGTCCTTCTAAGATAATAACTCCGGTTCACTCATTGAGTCTTTCAGAAACCCGACCATATCTTGTTTCCAGGCCGTAGCCAGGACATGTGGCCTGGGAGTACATTCAGAGCACACACGCAGCATAGAAGCCACCAACAGGGGCTCCTGGGTGGCTCAGTTGGTTGAGCGACTGCCTTCGGCTCAGGTCATGATCCTGGAGTCCCGGGATCGAGTCCCGCATCGGGCTCCCTGCTGTCCCTCCCCCCCTCATGTGCTCTCTCATTCTCTCTCTCTCAAATAAATAAATAAAATCTTTAAAAAAAAAAAAAAAGCCACCAACGACTCCAGCCCGTGAAGTATCTAGAATTCCAGGCCATTCATGAGCAAGGTGAGAGAGGGTGGTTGAAAGTTCTGCTAGCTATCCAGGTTGAAAAGCTTTATGAACACCGGTAACGTAGAAACGCCATGCTGAATCAGACTGAATATCTATCCTCTCAAGTATCACATTCCCACTTAGGTAGCACTAACAAAGGACATGATACAGAATAACATAATGCTGTCTTCCCTATTATCAGCCTCAGGAGGAAGTTGTATACCAGCATTCCTAACTTCATTTAAAACCCTCTTCAGACTGTTCTCATAAAATAAAATTTATCTTTATTTAAACCTATTTATATTTTCGTCATATGTAATATCATGGCCTAATTTCTACTGTACATTTAGTACTTGCTCTGTAAAGTAGAACTTAATCTTTTGCCTTAAAATGACCTTTTCTGAATTTCCCTGATTATTTAAAGCCATTTTGTACCTCTTTACTGTGCCCTTGTAATGGAATCTATGTCATCTACCTAATCTTTCAGACTCATCTAACCCTGTTTAGTTTTTCCTTTAGTCCCTGCTGTCTTTAGTTAAAAAGTCACAAATCATTCTAAAATATAGATCTTTCCTCTTCAGTATTATCTCCTCATTGCCCCCATTCCCTCTAACTTCAGTATATTTTCATCTGTTCTGACTACAGTTAAAAACAAATTATTTTGGGGCACCTGGGTGACTTGGTTGAGCATCCAAATCTTGATTTCAGCTCAGGTCATGATTTCAGGGTCCTGGGATCAAGCCCCAAGTTGGCCTCTGCGCTCAGCGGGGAGTCTGCTTCTCCCCCTCTTCCTCTGCCCCTCACCCACCCCACCCCATACCCCACGTTCACTCTCAAAATAAAAAATATCTTTAAAAAAGATTATTTGGGGGCACCTGGGTGGCTCAGTTGGTTAAGCGACTGCCTTCGGCTCAGGTCGTGATCCTGGAGTCCCAGGATCGAGTCCCGCATCGGGCTACCCGCTGAGCGGGGCGTCTGCTTCTTCCTCTGACCCTCCCCCGTCTCATGTGCTCTCTCTCTCAAATAAATAAAATCTTTAAAAAATAATAATAACAAAATAATAATAACAAAAAAGATTATTTTTCTGTTACTTTCTACTGCCATCCGCAATATTTCTTATTTTCACCTTCTTCCACTTTCGATACCCATTATTACTCATTGTTCAGTCCAAATCCCTTTATGATAGTTGCTGTATTCATCTCTTTCCTTGCCCACCTCACCCCCCAACTCTGTACCTACAGAATGGGAGAAAATATCTGCAAACTATCAGATAAGAGGTTAATATCCAAAATATATAAAGAACTCGGGATGCCTGGGTGGCTCAAGTCAGTTTAGTGTCTGACTCTTGATCTCAGCTCAGGTCTTGATCTCAGGGTTGTGAGTTTAGGCCCAGTGCTGGGTGTGGAGCCTACTTAAAAAAAAATTTTTTTTAATAAATATTTTATTTATTTAGTTGAGAGAACAAGCGGTGGGGTGAGCAGGGGCAGGGGGAGAGGGAGAAGCAGACTCCCCACTAAGCAGGGAGCCTGACGCGGGGCTCGATCCCAGGACCCCGGGATCGTGACCTGAGCCGAAGACAAATACTTAACCAGCTGAGCCACCCAGGCGCCCCAACATTTTTTTTAAAAAGACAAGATATAGGGGTGACCTGAGTGGCTCAGTCGGTTAAGCATCTGCCTTTGGCTGAGGTCATGATCCTCGGGTCCTGGGATCGAGCCCCGCATTGAGCTCCCTGCTTAGCGGGGAGCCTGTTTCTCCCTCTGCTGCTCCCCCTGCTTGTGCTCTCTCTCTGTCAAATAAGTAAAATCTTT